CGCTAGTGACGGGATTTTCATTTAACTTCATTAAAGATTAATACCAATGTACAGGCAGAATTCCCCACTCAATCATCCACTGTTGGGTTTTAATTAACAGTGCTGTTTCGAAAGTGGTGTTGGAAAACAGTAACAAAGCCTACATAGAACACGAGGCTAATAACCTAAGTAGCAAATGCCAATGACACCAAATAAAAAAACATGTACCTAAAGCTTGGTTATCAAGCAAAAAATTATTATTTTCTGTTACACATTCTGCAGGTTAAATATTCCTTCTTGCCTCAAAATAATTGTCTAATTCTTGGAGTCATCTTCTCCTTAGTTCTAATGTATATTAGATAATATTTCAACTTCTTCAAATGCTGCTAAACTCTCTATATTAATCATATTTTTAAATATTTCGCTTTTAATTCAAGAACCGTTTTTTTGTCATTTATTTGTAGCATATATTAACTTAATCACTTACGAATCAGTTGAATTTAGTATACGGATGCATTAATTCGTATCCCTTTGACCATGCGATGTATTTCCGTAGAAAAATTTCGCATACGGATATTTTTCGATTCCTTCAAAATACAGTTTACTGCATTTCATACGAAAACGCCAAAATTCCGTATGCGAAGTCACTCGTATGAGTTAGAAAATAGCAGCCCTGGGCTCTTTCAGACGCTTTCGTCCGTACGGAAAAACTTCGTACGGATTTTTTCTGTGCGTCGTTGATAGTAAACTGATAAAATTAACTGCGGCTTTCATACTGGACGGAGACGGTTTTTTTTCGTACGGTCGATTTAAAAACAGCCGTGTCAACGACTGAATTGTACGGTACCGTCGACGTCTATCAGTGGCCTATGTAACTTTATGCAAGCTTTCATATCTGACGATTGTTAGTCGTCTGCCGTCCGTTGTTGCTTGCAGTTTGGTTTTCGTTTATCATAAATATTTTGTATTTTGGTTTTCGCGTCAATATGACTATGAACGAAAATATTATAAACTAGTAGTTTGACATATTAATTTTTTTAATGATTAATTGGGAGATTGATTAATTAGGTGCACCCAGTATATACGATTATGTCGTTTCCGATACATTTGTATATGACTGTGCAAAAGCTACATGGCAATGGTGCGCTTTCGATTTATGTCGATAACCAACTCAGGGGATATATTGTGGAACCAACTGACAAAATACAATAGCTAAACACGGTTCACGGAAAAGAAAACCGTCGAGTGTAAAATCGTATAGAGAAAGTAAAAGTTAAAAGTCTTTTGGTAGGTAGAGAGGGGGTAAACGTCAAACACGTCGGGCGGCTCCGAGAATTTCACAGTAATGTTTACCTGCCAGTGTCGTTTCATAGAATAAGTAATTTTAAATTGTTATCGGCGGAACCAGACAATCGCATGTATTTATGGATTATAAATAATTATTAAACATGTATTATAATATTCAAATTATAATTTTACAAAATTTCAGCAGCTATTCACAATTTATTAAACTATTTACTCGAAATTGTTATTAACATCTATAAAATAATTTTGTACGCCAATGTATTGCGTACACTTCGGTGAGATCCGGTGCAAACCTGTCAATTTATGTGTATAAAGTGGGAGAACTGGCAAAAGCATTTCCAACTTTTACTTCTGTTTTTTCTACGAACAAAACGGTTGTGTCTGAAAGAGCCCTCACGGTTCGATCAAAATATCCGCACAGAGAAAGGCTGCGGACAAAGATCGTGAGCTGGCCATGAGCGAAACGTCAAATATCGGCCTTTAAACTCGCCTCGTTAGCAACAAGGTTGCCCAGCAATATTTTTATTATTTAGATAGACTGTGGGGTCTATTCTGTAACAATTCCTTTATCCGTTGAAGGCCTTTAAAAATATTTTCGGATTTTCTAAATTACTTCTGTCATTATTTAAACGGATTCCTTTAAAATACATTAGAGGACTATCTTAAAGAAATCCGTTTAAATAATGACAGAAGTAAATTAGCGAATACGAAAATATTTTTAAAGGCCACCAATATTTTAACGGATAAAGGAATTGTTACAGAATAGGCCCCATTGTCATTATAATTTTTTACAACTTGTCATGCTTTTACAATAAATTTATTACATTTACATCAACAATAATTTATTTATAATTGGGATTCATAATTTGATGAACTTCTCAGCTTGTTCTTCTTTCTGTGACTGGTTTGCATCGGATTGGGATCTCGAATGAGAGGTTTTTTCTTTCTTATGGAAAAGCTGCTCAGTCTGGGTCGCCATTTTGGGATCTCAAATTATGAATCCCAATTATATAAATAATTGTTGGCGATGTAAACGTAATTTAAATTTGTGAAGGCATGATAAGTTGTAGAAAAGAAAAGGTTTGTTCCAACAGCTAAGCTGATCATCAGAAGGACATCAGACGCATGGGCATTAAAAATACTCAGCCACGGATAACTGCCAGTAAAACGTTCCAACGTATTTTCTGATTCGTACATAAATGAGTCGATGGATTGTCAAAATGATCAGAGCTTCATCGCTTGTACAATTATCAGCACGTGCGTATTTGAACGTACCTATCTTCTCGTTCGTGCTATTTGTTTGTAATTGTTGGGATTTTAAGTTAACTTTGAGTGCCTTGCATTTCTATTTCTTTCAATTGAAATGAATAATCTTTGTTTTATATTGTGTATGGTTTTTTTATGTAAAATACGTACTTATTTTTAATAAAAATAAATATCTTGTCATGCGCGGTTTGGACGAATTTTGAATCGAAAGTCAGCATACCTTTAGAATAACCGTTTTAAAGCGATCAACCCAGAAAACACTTTGGTTATACCCTTCGTTAACCTTAAAATCACGTGACTTAAGCCCTAAAAAGATAACCGGTTATTGTAACACATTAACGTTAAATCGTCTTTAAGGAATATGACATGAAATTTTGACATTAGGTTAATTTTTATCGACTCAAAAGGGGCGTTTGATTTGAAACTCGATCGAGCGAGCGTGGAGGAGACGTCACAATAGAGCATTGAATCAAATCAAATAAAACAGAGTAAAAAACATAACCTTTTTTTTTGTAATTCTTGTTTCTGGTTTGTGTGTCAAAACAGTGAGCAAAAAGTAAAGAAAATGGAAAAACTTTTAATAATAATGGGTAATGGCCCTGAAATGCAGCATATACCAAAAATGCCCGCTTCGCTCTCATACTCCATGACTGTGATTACATCTGTACAGAGAAAATGTATTTTCCAAACACACATTTTGTGTTTTTTATGACGAATAATTTTGGCTGTAAGACAAAAGTAATTTGTTGACTTCTTGTCTGGTCTTTAATTTTGAGATTTAAATTTGGTTGCGAGTTAATTAAAAGAGATAGGTAGAGACACAGACAAATTTCTCCCTCTTCTCGATCCTTCTGCTCTGAGAACATCGAGCTCGCTCTATGTTCTCGCTCCAAAGCAAAACAAACACTTAAGGGATCTCTCAGAGTGTCAATTCAAACACGTTTGCAGCGCTCGGAGATCTCCGATGATCAAATCAAACGCACCAAAAGTGGAAATTGAAGAAAATTCGTACACATTTATTATGTGAGATTTTCCTTACATACAGCGATATAACAAATTTAAATCGCTATCTTGTTAGTATTGTTAGTAATGGTATGGATTTTATGAAACTGGCCGGAATAACATTGTGTGATGTACTAAAAATAATTATATTTGTGAAGACTGAATGTTAAAATTTAATAAGGAACACTTTGAAATGACTTTATGGCGTCAAAAGCATTTAATAATTTTCGTAGGCATATTTATATACTTAAATAAAAGTGTAATGTAATTTCAAATGTTGACTAAGCGAATTCTATAATCTAACCAAAAAACACCAACTACATGTCACTTCCGCTTTTCATTATTAACCCACGTCTGGACTCCGGTATTTACCGGTTATAATTAATGACTTTTCAAAGGGCTTAAATATGACGTTATAGAAAGTAACCAAGGATAACCAACATCGCTTTAATTAAAACGGTAAATACAGCAAATTACAGAATGATAAATAATAAAAATATTGCTGGGCAACTGAAGTTGCTAAGGAGACAAATTTAATCCTTTAGTAAAACTGCACGTGAAGTAAGGATATCTAAAGGTGCTAGTGTATATATGACGCACGTGTCGCGATGAGTTAAGAAGGAAGGTATGTAGTGCATCTTTCACTACACAATTGTATGGGCTATTCTCACTCCACCCAATGAGGTCCCTGTAAGACCAAAACTGGTTGTGGAATATTTTTTTAATTAAAAAGCAGACTTCAAAATCGTGCAATGCCCTTAAAAATTGGAATTTTTGATTTTCTCATAAATCATCGGGTCCTGACCAATTGTATATGGAACTACCCCTTAAAAAAATTAATTTGAGGATTTTCTCATTGACCCAATTAATAGATTTTGACCAAATTTAGTTGGGACCCCTGAGGTACTCCCCTTATAAACAAAAAAAGGATCATAGAAATTGGACAAGGTGGTAAAGAATTATCACTAAACATACATGAAAAATGAAGAGTGAGGATTTTCTGATGGACCCAATTATTAGATTTTGACCAAATTAATATGGGACCACCCCTGAAGTACCTCCTTTCTAACAAAAAAGAATCATTGAAATCGGACACCGTGTTAAAGAATTATCGCTGAACATACATAAAAGAAAATATTACAAGGAATGAAGAACCTCCTCCTTTTTTGAAGTCGGTTAAAAATGAGATTAGATGGCAAAATAAAAGGGTTGATGTGTCGAGAGGCAACACAAAGGGGCATTCTAATATGGATAACTAGATCTGGCGCCAGTTTTTTTAATTCTAAAACAAACCTAATAATAACATACAATAGATATTGGGTTTATGACTGCATTAGAAAAATAAAACACATAATTGAATAAATAATGTATATTCAGAAAGCAAGTATTCATTTTGTGTAAACAAACTTTAAAAATGTAACAACTGAACTGATTAAAAAATCAACTTTTCGCTAAAACAGTATACCCATAATTATATTTTTATTACACAAATGAAGAAGAAAATGAGTCCAGTTAAAATTTCAACATCTATTCTACATTTTTTTGGAAAATAAATGAGCGAAATATTTTTCCAAACAAAAAATTTTCTATTTAATAAAAGAAATTCACTTAGTTAGAAAAGTTTCATTATGTTTCACTATTTTTATTTCATAATTACAAAATAAACTGTAAAATAAAAAATAACCAAAAGCAAAATTAAAAAAAAAAAAAATAACAAAATAAACAACAACTATTTTACAAATTAGTTTTTTTCAGATTGTTTCATCAAGGCTTTTAAAACTATGGCTCAAAATGAAAAACACATGTCCCACACAAATGTAGTAACTAATTACATTAGGATTAAAATTATCTCAAAATGGAACACATTTAAAACAAATATTCGTGCAATTTAATACAATATATTAACTTTTTTTAAAGTGAGCATTAAAGTTCTATATTTTTAAAACAATATGTTGGAACATTGAATGGAACTTAGGAACTTTTGGGACATAGCGTAAAGAGCAACTGAGACAGACTGTATAAAACAAAAAGAGAATTGAGGTGTCAGTACCCTGTATATAAACTTTATAAATCTCAACAACTACATAATAAAAAGGGTTGGTTTACTATTAGTCCAATTTCATACAAGTAAAATATTTGGAAAAATCAATATGCCTAAAATTACTTCAAAAAGATCCACTGACATAATTTTATCACTGAAATCATATTTAACATTTTCTTATTGCCAACTAATGGATAATTAATATTTTAATTGTCAATTGACTTTTAATAGGATGAAATAGTATTGAATGAGTTATTCAAAGGAATAATGCATACATAAATTATTGATGGTTTAAACTAGGAATCAATTCAAGAGTTATTTGACAAAAAAAAACAGTTGACGAACTTTTTGAAGTAATTTATGCAAAGTAAATTGCTAAAATCGTATACCTCTCAATCTTCTCCCGTATTAATCAGAACTAAACTTGCAAAGCTCGTAATAACAGCCTTGATACCTACAGAACTAAATGAATCATTTACAATAGCGTTTTGATATTTAACAATTTACAATTTGAAAAAATTACCTGTATAATATATAAAATCTAGCGAGTAGGTCCACCTAGATCTGTCTAAATTTTCAAAAATAACTATTTCAGCCGTATTATATTTAAAAAACTAAAAAATGACTTAGCTGTTTTTCTTCGTTTATAATTTAATATTACAACTATATTACAATAAACAAAAAGGTGACGAGTGGGTGTTCATTCAATTTGAGGACCCCGATCAAGTTGAGTAACATCCACACTGTCGAGCGCACCTAATTATTTTTCTTCTTTCACTTTCTTTATTCATAATAAATAAACATAGTTAAAGACCTAGCTTTAACAGTGATATCTATTTTTTCGCTCAGAGGAAGCTTCCAATATGTTTCTGTCGGTTTTACGCTTGAAATACAGGGTGTTTCTAATATGGCGTATCTAGACTACAAGTATCTCTATAAATAAGGAATATTTAAGCAGGAAACAGCATTATAGGCTATATGTATTGTGGATTATGTGCAGGTCTGTTAGGTGTACGTACATAGCTTATTTATTATCGTTGATTAATCCTGTTTGTTTTCTTTATCAGTTTTTGACTTCCAGATAACACAACTGCTGCTATCTTATATTTTCTGCTAGGTCAGTCTCTTCTCTCTTAACAAGTGGCATTTAACATGTTATGATTCTAAATTCGGAGGCTAATGAAGTTATATATAACATAACAGAAATATATTTTAGTATATAAATAAAATGTGCAAAATACAATAGAAGCGAAAGTAGAAAATAGAAAATGTGTGTGTGAGATAAGAGAGACCTACAAAAATCTGGCAGAAGGTAAAATATAAATAACTACAACAGAAGTCTATCAAAACGAGTAACAAATCTGGCTTATTAAAAGTTATACATATATGGATATAGCGATGTTTTATCTACCAGCAATTAAAATTTTCTGCAAATTTATTAACTTATATTAAAGATGATTTTTTAATGGAAAAATAATCGACATAAGATAATTATATTTCGTTATTCTAATTGTTGAAAGCTTTTATTCAACATTATAAAACACCCTGTACTTGTATCGTATGAAGTATTGTCTTAAATTTTAAAGCTTTCATCAGAGTTATAACATCTAAATAAGTATTTACTGAAAATAACGGATATGTCAGATGCTGACGATGTGTTATACATCTGATATTTGAGAAAATGGCGCATAAAAAAACAACGTGTAGAAATTGTGTCCTAAACGTCAAAAATTTCACAGTAATTAAGATATATGTAATTTTTGTTAAATTAAATGTATTTTCTATGATTTTATATCAGTTTTTGATATTAGAGTATGCCAAAATACTTATATAGTTAGATGTGTGAACTGGATATTACCCATTAAAAAAGAAGAAAATCTTTAGATAATATAATCACAAAAAATAATTTAAATATACAAGATATTTCATTGCCAATGGGAAATTCGTTATATGAACGTTATTAAGTTATTGACATGAAAATTGGCAACGTTTTTGGTACAAAAAAAGAAATAATTACCATTTTACACGTTGCTCATAGATGTGCATGATAAATAGTTATAACCATTTTAATCAAAGCACTAATTATAAGTTGTTATCTCTGTGAAAAATGTTAAGACGCTTTTATACAAAAAAAAGAGTTGCCAATTTTCAAAACGATAACTTAAGAATTTTCATAATTGTGACAAAGAGGGAAATAAAATTTTAACTTTCCTAAATTACATTTGTATAAAGATACATTCGGGTCAATTAGTATTTCCAGTTACCCCATTTTCCATTATTAATGAAACATCCTGTATGAAATGATTTAAAAAAATTAATATGTTGAACATAAAAAAAATTAAATAAAAATAAATATGAATCGAATATGTTCTTAAAAAAAAAAAAAATTAAATATGAATCGAATATAGATCTAATTTTATTAAAATTAAAATAATGACCATTTTAAATTGCATTAAATAAATAGGCTACATAATAAGTTTTTTTAGATAAGAAATAACTCCCTGTATAAATTTGTGGCTAGATTATGAACAGAAACACACTGTATCAAGAAATAAAACCATCTAGATTATTTATAAAATTTTCTTCATAAGGTATGTATGTAAATACTAGACATCTTAATTATGCGACCAAAGGTGTATGTCCTAAAATTAAAACATCCAGTATAATATATTGTAGAGAAAGAAGCATACACACATATTATAATTTCTCTTATTAGACTTTTTTACAATATTTATATGTTATTCTTTATTTTATTTTCCAAATAAACTTTTTTTTCTTAAAAAAAAAGGAGAAAAATTAAAATATATCACCGTCAAAAAATAAGTATTTATACTACAACATTTACCCAGAACTCATTATTGATTATGCTACTTCTTCAAGAATGACATTTTATATATCACTACCGTTTCATTCTTATTCATAAAATGTTTTTTTTTTTTTTTTTGAAGGCGAATTTCTTATCTTCAAAACTGAATATTCTTTTTTACTTTTTAAATTTTTAGTAGAGAGCAATCTGATTATTGGGCAAGTGACGACATGATTACCTTCAAACTGTTTACTAAACTTTTTACATTTAGCACTGACACTAAATGAAAATTGTAATCTGATGAAAAATCAGCTCAACAGTATATTTGCAGTTCCCCCACTTAATACACGAGAAAGAAAAATATGGATGCAACTATACAGTAAGCAAATCACTAAAAGGCAAAGCGCGCGATGGCTTGTAAGGATTAAGTACAGTTTTAACTAAGACAAATATATGTAAACCTATTTAAGAATATATTAGATAAAGACAAATGTAGTGGTAGTGATATCTAAACAAAATGATCAAGAGAAAATCAGTGAGACGAGTAAATATGACTGAAAAATGGCAGTCCAAGAGAAGCATTAAAGAATTCGAAGAGCAAGCACATTATCATGAGATATGGCACCCAAGTTTTAGCACAGAATAACGAATAGTGCAAGGACAAATGACTATAACATCCCCTACCTTTAACAGAACCAATATAGAAACGAAATAAAACTATAGAGCAATCATCTAAAAAATTGTCGATGTCCTAGCTCACCTCTATGATTTTAATACTGTTTCTTAATGTAGCATTATAGAACAAATTGATGCAATTTTTATATTTTTAAGCTATTCATATAGAAAATATAACTAGAAAACAAAAATATTTTCCCTTTACTTAGTAGCTAATAGTAATAGTAAACCTTTTTTTACTAATTTAATATAATTTACTATATTTAAAAATAAAAAATATAAAATGTCATTCTTATCACTTTGTCAGCCGTGTTCACCCAGTCGGGTTGGCTGATGACAACCCAGTGGATATGACACGAGGTAGCCAATATTGGGTTCTAAAGCATAATTAATGCTGCTTTTTAACAGGTGGCGCAATATTTTGATCTACCCACGTGTGTAGATAAATCTAAAATGTTAAAACTAACTGTCAACCCATTTGGGTAGACAGAAAGACGACTGGCAGCCAAACTGTTAAGCACCCGCTTAGGAACAATTAAACCAGCATTGCACCATATCACAAATTTTAACCAATCGAAAATAAAAATAGTTATTTTTGACGATACTTTTTAACACTTTGGTGTCAGGAAAGTCTTTTTTTTACATTTTTTAAAAAATAAATAACGCATTTTTTAAAAAAATTTTGTCGGCTCCGGATTTTCATTACCGGAGCCCTAATTGTTAACTACTTCGTAACATTGTTGGTCTACAACAAACTTCTTTTTTTCCATGGAAAATTCGAGATTTTCTACTTCGACGACAACGACACTGTTTTGCTCCCGACGGTTTCATACTGGATCTGCCACTAGCAGTCTGTATTTTTTTATAAATATTCTCCTAATACTTCTCGCCTTCACTCAGTTTTAGTTTTATTTAGCTTAAAAAATTCACTAACTGTTTTTTTAGGGTTAATCCGCATTTTAGGTCAGTTTAAGTATTATTTTAATTTGTAACTTAGAAAAGTCAACTGTATTTGACTAGTACTTTAACGATAACAATTACAACACATACACTTGGCTTCTTTGTTTTAAGATTCTTCTTCCATGTAGTACTGCACTTTACCATTTGACTGATTGATTATGGCTTCCCACGCTGAAATAAAGAGACCAAATTAAAAACATTGGTATTAAAACATTCTTTTTAATAAAATGATAACAATCCTGTTAAAAAACGACAAAAAATCATTCTTCCTGAACATCATGTCTAAAGGGGCTATTCACTGACTTTAAAGCAGAAAACGTATAGCAATGAAAGCGCCAACAAAGTTCACTTACCAAAACAAGCATGCAATTATGATATTCTCTAATGCTAAATACTTATGCTGTTTACAACTAAGAATAAGATTTAAATTACATTTTGATGTAATTATTTAATCATTAAAAATAAATGCGGTAGTTAAAAATCAACTGTTTAGGTCCCAACAGCAAGCTTTATTAAATTTTGAAGTCAATTATAAAATTTTAATAAATCAAAAACATAATAATCAGCATAGCTGCTAATATTATTATCTACGTTCGCAAATCATTGTCTTAAATGTCAAAAACTTAACTTGCGAACATCAAAATGATACTGATATGTAACTTTCTTGAAACAGTTTTATATTTTTCAAATGCGCACAGCAAGTAGAGAATATCAAAACGTTCGAGTTTTACATTTTTGCGAGTTGTTTGTCAGTTCTTCCTTGAGGCGAGCCCAGATCGGTTAAATGTCTTAACAAACAAACGATCATGTTCTGAAGTAGCCTAGGCATCTAAGATTCAAAAAGAGACACCAGAGAAAAGTTTTGATATTTGACACCTTTGCTTTTTGGGTCGAACACGAATCTAAGGTTGCCAACACAAATTTTGGCAGAAAACGTGGGAAAAACGGGGTTTTATTCACTGATCTATATTATTTTACTGGATAGGATATAGGCTATATTTAACATACTAAAAAACCGTTCCACCAAGGAGACCGGAAGTGCAACAATGCTGACCGATTTGGGCAAATTATGGTGGGTTCACAGAACTGAAATTTGGGATAATTTGACATACCTAACCTATAATATGATTAGTTTTTCGTCTTATTCTTCTTCTATTCCTTTTGTGGGCGATGTCCTTCGGGAAAATTCACCCATGATTTGATTTTTTATGAAAGAAAATATAAAAATGGAAACGAAGCATATTGTGTCTTCAGGAATGAACGTTTATTGTTTATTTCATACTATTTTTACTATGTTTTCCACAATAAAAACATCTAATCGTAGCTTGTTGACACAATTAAATGACAAATGTGATGACAAATGGAAATAGAGGTTACGTTAAATAACATCCGGTCCGCCATATTATTTGCCCAAATCGGCCAATTTTTCGGAACGTTTTTTAGGGGACTATATCCTATCCAGTAAAATAATACATATCAGTGATTTTATTACAATACGTTAGCTGCGATAGGGATGCGAAATTAAGTGTTAAAAGCAAAAACTCTCAAAAATCTCATAACAGAACATAATAAGAATAAATTCTAGGTACATAGGCCCTTCATTTTTACAAATGACAAAATTTAATGGTGTGACTTTGCGCCATAGTCGTTAATCGTATTAAAATTTCACTTCTTAAAAATTATTGTCAATTAAATTTTCAAAAATGCCGCAGCATTTAACTGAGACTCAAAAGTCGAGGGCTATAGCAAAATTAGAAGAAAATAAATCCTTAAGTGAAGTGACTGCTAAATTAAAGGTCAGTAAAAGTTACATATTATACGTTAAGTAATGCTGGCAACAAGCAAGGGTTCCTCGGAGGGGATGCTGCCTTTATTAATTCCGTTTTTTTGAATAACTACAGTTTCTTCTGGGGTTGTGATGATCCAATGGTTGATCCAAAGGAAGAAAGCAGATATAGAAATTAAACTTCAACACTCTACCTTTTATTTTGCTCACTACAGAGAACGTCATTCTTGGACCGGTTTCGTCCTTATTAGGAGTCTTCAGCAAGAAATAGATGGTTCTCAATTCCAGTCTCTAATCGAATTAACAAGGCAACACATTTACTATACTCTGTTTTTAAACTAAGAGGAGCGATTTGAATTTAAGTTGGCAATTCTGTAGCCTTCTGATTGGTCAGATTACAGTCAGTTTCACACATTACTTTTTAGCATGAACATAAGCTAATAATTGATATTGTTGACAGTTCTGACATTTTATAATTTGATATCTCATCCATTACAGTTTTCTACTTTATTTCGTAAATAATAGTTCTTCAGTAAGCAATTGTATTGAAAATCTACAATTATGGATCCTTCTACACTGAGTACTATTAAAGGTAGCAATTCCTGAAAAGCCTTACATGAAAGGGAAGACACCTTATTATTTTACATGCTGATTCTGAAGGTTTTGTAGAAAATGCATTATTGGTTTTTGAAGGTAAAAAGATGGGAGATTACCATGAAGAGATGAATTCCGAAGTATTTTAGAAAAAAATAATTTTATTACTGATTTTTTAAAACTAAAAATGGGCCATGTTCACATGTGAGATATGCTGTTTTATAAATTATATTGTAATAGTTAGTCGCTATACAAGTTATTCTAAATAGTCAGTTCGTTAAAAAAGCTAAAAGTTTTTAAATTAAGCCCAATTGAAATTTAAAATTTGAAATTATACGTCATCGGGAATAGACCAATCATCTTGTGTCGAAGTTTTTTTTGTTATACAAAACCAAGCCAACGAACAAACCAACACACAGAATGTCGAAGTGAACGCACATCTAAGTGACATTAAAATTGACACCTCTCTAACCTTAGTTTTTTGTTTTGGTTTAATTTTATTATTAATATGAATCAGCTGGATTTATAAAAGTTGAATCAAGTGTTTTACCCATTGTAAACGAAAATATGATTACCGAGATGATTACTGCATTTTTTAACAATACTCAGTTTACAAAAGTCACAAAGGTAAGACTTTGTTAGTCACAAAGGTAAGACTTTGTTTTAATAGTAGGTAGTTACAGTTTATATGGAGCAAGTAAAACATATTTATCTCAGGTTTTATTTTTAGATCTGCCAAGCAAGTATATGTGGATAATTTCTTTTTCCATAAGAGAGAAGGAGACAAATTACACCTAAACATAAAGTACGGCAAAAACCTTCTGATGTGGTTGCATTGTAATTAACAAAAATGAAATTTTTAGTGCACAATATGCTAAGGATATGCTGCATGTCAAGGTTTGTAATATTTATTATGCTTTTTTGTTTTTATATTACATATAATAAAAAGGCCCTTTATTCCTATAAATATTTTTTTTCTAATTTTGACCTACAGACATTTTTTGTAATCGCAGCAAGTGTTAAAATAATCTAGAAACAGATTTTGTTAGTGAACCTAGTAATAATTATGATACCAAAGAATGCTGCAGAGCACCTATGAAATTTTGAGTTAAAAAATATGCCATATTTTTAGGCTATTTTTATACCCTTTTCAAAAATTTTATGCTCCTCGTTTTTTGCAAAACTTAAAATGCTCTATAGCTTCGAACAAAGTCATTAAAGCACCTCTATTTTATAAAGTTTTTTCTGTAAAAACAGCAACACCATATATTTATGCACTTGAAATATTATATTTTTAAAAATACATGGTGCTTGCTAACCTTCGAAAGAAGCCAGCAGAGCAATTCGGTTTTTTAAAGCTTTTTTCTAAAAACCACACCCCATTTTTAGAATATTTTTAGACTCTTGAAATATTGTAAAACTTTACTAAAAAAATTGCTATTTTTAAATAATACAGGGTGCTTTGTTGGAACAAAGTCAGCAGGACACTTCAGTTTTTTAATTTTTTTTTTATATATAAAAACAACTACTTATGACACATGTTTAGGCTGTTTTAAAATCCTAAAAATGTGGTAAGTACATTTGTTTTCAGAAAAAAACTTTGAAGTCAGCAAGGAATTGCGAATTTTTTTTAAAATGCCAAATTTCGAATATTTTATAATATTGTAGGAGCCAAAAAACGTGGTGTGGTTTAAAAAAAAACTGGGGTGCTCTGCTGGATTCGTTTGAAGCTAACAAAGCATCCCGTAATTTTTTATTTTATAATACTCAATAGCCTAAAATGAGACATAGCTGTTTAAACAAATTGTATTTTTAAAAATAGCAGTTTTTTTCGAAAAGCTCTAATATTTCAAAAATGTGAAAATGTGGTGAGATTGTTTTTTTTTAAGTTTTGAAAATCCGAGGTTCTTTACTGGATTCGTTCAGAGCTAGTAAAGCTCTGCTCGTCTTGTTACATAAAATAAAGGCATTTTGTAGCTGGTTATATAGTTATTTTGTAACTGCATATCTAACCCTTTTATTTTTTCAGTTGATTGTAAATATGTGGCTTCATAGAAGAAGTGATGAACTATTTGTAACATCTATTCAGTGTTATTGGAAAGGCTCTAATTTATCAAAATGCGTAAATATTGATGTACACTTGGCTAGATTGTTAAAGAAACCTCTTCATCCACTACAGGAAAATAAATCAGTACTTTTATATTCTTAGGATTTGTATATATATTTTTTATTTGTAAATAAATTGTTTTTTACTTCATTTTTCTCATTTTTTATTAAAAGATTAATAAATAAAATTTTCACAGATTTTTATATTTTTGTTTGTAAACAATAATTGAAGAGTTTTTATTAAAAATCACCAATGTTAATAATAATAATAATTTAAGTCAATATTATTCTTTCTCCTTTTTTAAAGCTACTATCAATAAAGGTATTACTTGCTTGACCTATGATCAATTTTTAAATTTTGTGATATATTTGGTTCAACAGAAAAAAAATTATAACCCTTTGACATTGGTTTTTACTTAGATTTTCATAAAAAATAAACGGAACTGCAAACATGTTTTACTATCGTAATAACGAATAGCAACATTAAATTTTTTTTTTACATTTATCACTGTTGTCATTTTCATAAAGGATTGATAAGAAGGCACACTTTCTGGTTTTTTGAAAAAGGTAGCAAGAATTGTGATATTTTTAAATTTATCACCACATGTAGTTACCCGATTTATTGGAATAGGTATATAGACTTTGCTACCACATTCAACTGAACTTGGTTGTTTTTAATATTTATCACTGTGACATAAGCGTTTTTGTCAAAATGTTTCATTTTAAACTGCTGTAAATAGGTGCCTTTGTTTTGGTAGTTTTAGTCCCAAAAAAATCTATGCATATACAAGTACTCATTCCTCTTTGATTTGTTCGAAAAGTTAAAATTTTATAAAAAATTACATTGGCTGTTAAAAACTCATTATAATCCCTGAAAAGTGATAATTAGGTAAATTAAATTAAAAAAACAAACAAAAAAAATATTAAATTAATATTTACTCTTACAAAATAGGTTCTTGTAAGTTAACAAGCAATTATGCAGATATTACTAAGTAAATGTACTTGCTTAAAATTCACACACGAATGTGGTTTTAACTTGTTAAATTAACTAACCCTTCTTATAACTCTTTCCACATGTATTCTTAGAGATGCTATTCTTTTCGCTTTTCGCTAGTAGAAGGTTGATTTTCTTCTTTCCAAATTTCTAGGAACACTAATAAATATTTTTGAAGATGAATGTGAATCATTATCACATTCTGGAACAAAACACTTTTTCGTAGTCATATTATTTATTTATTAAAAGTACAAAATAAACACTCAAATTCCAAATAAATTATTGATGGAGACACTATGACAGATGACATACAGTGCTGCCGTTTTGCCATTTTCTGAATTATTAAGTGACTTTTAAAACAATAAAACTTTAAATATAGTAAAAGTTTAAACAGAAACAATACTTTCAAAAAACATTTGATATTATATATTTAAAAGATATTTGTTTAACGATGTTTTAGAAGTCTAAAAGTAAGAAGGAGTACACAAACGAACGTACATCACTTCTCGTAAACCTTCTAGCCGGCAACGTTGTGCGCTAGCTCCTATTGGTCTATTCCCGGTGACGTCATAAATTTTAAAAAAAATCATAACTCCGGCAAATGAATAGATAAAAAAAAAAATAAAAAAAATGTAGTTTTATTTTTAACTCTACTATTCATAAAAAAAATTTCAAAATTTTTGAACATGCCCCATTGATGAATTTCTAACAAAAATGATTAAAATGTAACTAAATATTCAAGCAAATTTTATTTATTTGAACAGAATAAAACTATTTACAAAATTGTTATAACATTTAAAACACCAGCTACTACTTTAGGGACAATCTTAATTTGGCACAATGAGTTACATTACTTTTACAAAAAAAATTTTAAAAATACTTAAAATTAATACATAGGTATGTATGAATAGTTCACTTTAAAAAATATATGTTGACATGTAGTGTTATGAAAATGTTGGTCCGAGTTTTCAAAACAAATTCTGACTCATAGGCCTGTAAACTTTTGAATGCCTTTATTTGCCCTCTAGCGCATTAACCATGGGTTAACACTAAATAAGCCATAATATCCACATTACTCATAGAAGAGATACCAGTTACTGTGTGATCCACTTGTCATTCACTGATTAACTTTTACTTTTTATACCTATAACAAATATATCCTTAAAAATGTAAACAGCTCTTTATATTTTATACTAACCTGGCTACATCTGGATATTCCATTAACAATTTTCTTAAATATTTAATATCCATTTTAAAAAGATCATAGTTATTCTCAAAAAGTCAATTTCAAAAGCAAGAAAAAAGTATTTCTGACATCAATCAACAACCATATTGACTTTAATTTGACAGTGACATTTCGTTTTAGACACACATTTCAGATTACAATAATGTGAAATTTGCGACCGTTGTCTGGGACCAATTAAAAAATTACTTCTATGACATTTATTCGTTTCTTAACCGCTCATTGGCCGTTCACCAACTAAGGCCGATAAAGATAATTATTTCATAAATTTTGAACATGACTATATTTCGAAACTCGCTCTTAGTAACAAATCTAGTTACTTTTCCCTGTGTAAATGCGTCTTTTCAATTCGCTCCTCCTAGTTTAAAAACAAAGTATAATATACATTAATGATAGTTAGTGGTAAAAATGACGTCGTCATCTGTTCCTAGTAAACAAAATCAAAGGTCGCTTGTAGTACCAAGTTACAAAACTAGGTGGAACTGGAAAGCCAGGCTTGAATTTTAAAAAAAAGGAAAATAATTCCAACTCAGACGTAAAATAAAATAAATAAATCATGAAGCCATATGTCACAAAATAAAATAGGTGCGACCGTTTCCCTTCCGAAAATGTATCCTGTTTAACTTTGTATAGGATCGATCAACTTCTACATAAAACAGATTTGGATTTTTTTTGAACAAACCTATATACCCCTGGAGGACGCATAATGGGCCTAGTGAGACATAAGTGATGTGGAGCAACCCACACACCTCACCTTACAGATACAGAGACACTTTTCTTGACCTGTTTTTTTTTAGCAGGTCTATTTATAAAGAGTGATCCACAAAAAAGTTTCTAAAGTGGGCAATGATCAACAAAGACAGAGAAATATGAGTCATGTCCTAGATAACGAACAGCTCTAATTAAATCCAAACTGATACTTAAAAAGAACAAGAATCGTACGGTCTGACATGCATTTTTGTGAATCACTCCAAATATAATCTTAAACAAGTAAAATAAATTAGAAACATACTTTTGGATTCCTGATACTAAATTCTCAAAAAATATTAAACAATTCAACTTACTTGACCCAATAAAATTAACTATCTTGTCATGGTTATGGGATGCTTGCGTATACCCCTGTGGTGCGACGAACCTCGCGACAAAATCCTCGCAAATGTCATCGTGCAACAATTGTTCGTTCACGTCAAAGCCGAACACGAGACCGGTCACTTCCTTGTTCCCGATTCCGCTTAAAATTACAACTGGAGGCGGGCGTTCCTCTTCTTCGCCGACAATGCCTTCACCTTCCGCACCTCCTCCTATCATCGTTTGATCACCCATATCACAGTCTGCTTGTTTATTTTTGTTGCTAATAGGCGGTGACGTCACGTTATCGGTAGGTGGTGTCTGAGTCGATTCGGAGACGGTTTTACTGGTTAGAAGGGGGTGAGTGGGGGCGACGTAACGAGGGGCAGTAGCGGCGAGAACGGGCGGGTATTCTTGAGAATGACAGTTCATAAAGTGCATCTTTTCAATGGACTGGACGTCGGGGATGTTTGGCGGCATCTTCTGGGCGTTCAATTGTATCGATTCCTTTTCGTTTGAGTGTATTATCTGGAAAAATTTCCATATTATTTAACTACATTTTGCCACAAAAAAATATCTGGTTTAATTGCAAGTAATGTATCTGGTGTCTAAATAAGAATGGACGTCGGCAATATCTAAGGAACCGTTTATCATACAAATCTGATTTAAGTTATGTAAAAAATAAAATCGTAATCTTTGCGAAATTTTATTAGATTTTGACTCCTTTATTTGTTTTTCATTGGTCATAAGCATTACGCCATCTAGTAGCGAAGTTAGAGGCTCAAAAACAATTTCCAGCGATTTTTCTTGGCTACTTTTACTATTTTCTTTTTTCAAAATTCCAAGGCACAATTTATGAGATACAAGCTGTATTCTACAGCTAGCGTCTATTCTTATTTGGACACTCGGTATATTTATAAAAAGAGAAATCATAAAAATGTATATAAATATCAATAATTAATCGTTTAAAAAGAAAGTGTAATTTCATTTCATTTTGAACGCACAAATTAAATTAATAAAATGTAAATAAATTTAAAATATTAATATGGGACTAGGGGATTCCCGCATAGAATATTTAAAAATAAAATTAATCAAGCTGGTTGAAAACAAAAAATCACCAACAAATATACAAACCATCATTTTTAACAGGATAATCGAAACACAAACAAATATTCACAAAAATAGTTTGATTAAAAGTACTCTTAAACATCAACTATTGTGAAAAATAATAATAGCAATAATGTAGCAAAAATTTATCTGATAAGACACAGGTCGTATAAAAATGGAAAACCACGTCGCTCTACCGTGTTTATCATTGTTTTATAAAATTCAACTATTATTAGCTATTACAACTTAACTAGCTAATAAAACAAATAATGCAATGATGTCACATTATGAAGTGGAGTGGTTTTTAAAAGATAAAAAAAAATTGCAGTGATTGTGGAACAACTTTTACAAGGCGCAGTAAGAAAATAATCAGAAGTAAAGTCTGTTGCAATTTATAGTAGAAAATCGTCTCGCTTTACACATGAAGGAAGGTTGTGTATTAGCCGGAACAGGGACGGTGCTCCCAAATGGACTTTAAAAATTTATGTTTTCTGATGTTTGGGGAACAAAACATGATAATATTAATGTGCTTACTGTGCTTACGTTGTTTTTTTTTAATCAATGTAATGTAGACACTCCTCCATCTCGAGGAAAAATAATATGGATTTTACACTGTGGTGGAGAATCAGGTTGGGTAGAAGGAGCTCTCTTGCTGTCTGCAAAGGATGTACGGGATAGTAGTTTGGACTACCAACAGGACATAGAAAGTACTCTTTACGTTATCGACACCATAGCAATAAAACGCGGATTTAAAGATTTACGTTTACCACTGTATGGGGTTCAACCCATAGAATTATTATGGTCACAGTTAAAAAATTATTCTCGAGCAAATAACTCTTCTAAGTCCACTTCTTCTGTAACTGATGTAATAAGAAATGCGTTTAACTGTATAACTGTTGAAAACTGGAAAAACGCTATTCAACATGTTAAGAAAATCGAAGAGAAATATATGAGATTTAACAATACAATTCAAAAAATTGAAATAAATTTGGATGATACTGATGATGATAGTGATATTATTTCAGAACATGAAATTTGTGACTGTGAATGTGATTTAGAAATATAGACGTTTTTAAATTCATTTACCTACATTTCCACAAAATAAATCTAGTGATATATATTCTTTTTAAATTAATACTTAATAATTTTAATCAGTTTCAATTTTCAATATATTTTTTAGTTGAACATGTGTTTGGCAATAAAACCTTTTTTATTTTTATTTTAATACAAGTACTCAGCGTGTTATATGTTTTCAATGCAATTTGGACCGCAAAAAAATCTTTGAAGAAATCAAATTTTAAAAATTATCGTTATCATTTGAACAAATAACACTCAACCTAAGCCGGCTCTGATCAGCATATTGGCGAACGTTTCAAGAGGTTGCAGGACCATTGCGCTTTCTAGATTATCTTGCAATGGACTATAATAGGCAAATTGTGGGATATTGCAGTGTGTTAGTGAGTGGGATATTGCAATGTGTATATAGTGAGTGGGATATTGCAATGTGTATATAGTGAGTGGGATATTGCAATGTGTATATAGTGAGTGGGATATTGCAATGTGTATATATCGTGAGTGGGATATTGCAATGCATATACAGGGTGTTCCAAAAAATTAGGCTAATCCGTTAACCATAGATTCATTGGGTCAGTGTAAGAAACCTTCATAATTTTTTTTTATTGGGGCCATCATGTTTAACTTGCAAGTAGCGCCTTCTATGAGGTAGGTGATATTTAAAACGACGAAAATATAATGAAAAAAGTATTTTTTTAAATTAACTTTGTCACCCAATCAAAAAAGATAATAAGAGGTTTCTTAGGAATATATGGTTAACAGATTGTCCTTTTTTGGGACACCCTGTATAGTAGGATATTGCATTGTGTATATTGTGGGATACTGCTTGCTATAGTAGCATACTGCGGAAATGAAGATGGTACTTATACATAGGGTCTGGACCGTTATTATAAATAACCAATTCCTTACTCAAAATTCCAGAATTCATTATATGTTTTGCTCCCAATACTATCTTAGGGTCTTCCTAAAGATTTGTTTTCGAGGATTCTACTTTAATAGACTCTCTTTGGTTGCTTTGTCTTGCTGAGAACAAGAGCTCAAAGTTTGCCGTGAATTGATAGTTTCCTTTAAGTCACACTAGCTTCTGGTTTACACAGTATTGCCCTTGGATAAATAATATCTAATTACCACTAGATCAGGCTATTACATATTTCAAAACGTTAGGGTAGCAATTGAGAATGTGTCGCTATTTTTTAATTTTTAAATAAAGGATTAGAGTGTGATTTTTTTTTAGATATTTTTAATATACAAGAGTAGTCTCAAAAGTAATGCACAGCGTACTCTAAAAAAGAACCCGAGTTCCGACGAGTACTGTTACTGAAGTGTACTATAGAAACTTTCCTCAAAATGTCTTGCGCCCAAAAATCTATAAACTGCATCCAGGAGTGTTGCAAAGTGGTGTGATGATTTTGCACAATAATGCATGCCATCACATCAGTGCACCAATCCTCGAACTTCTCGCAAAAATACGTCTGGGAACAGCTTCACCAGCCGGTTTATAGCACTGATCTAAGGCAACCCCAGTGCGATCTCTTCCACAAGCTAAAGGAACCCCTTCCGATGTGTGCGTTTTCCGACGGTTAACCCTTTCAGACACGAATTTTTTTAAACCAATATATATTTTTTTCTAAGTGTTGACGATTGTTAGAAATATTTTTTCAACATTTTTAAAATTGACATTTTTTAGTTACGTCATGTACACTGCAGAGTACGTGGTGACTGAGAGACGTATATAAATAAGAAACATTTTTCTATAAAGAACAGTGTAATTGACAAAAACCTGTATATTACATATTTCATAAATTCCTTTTATGCAACAGATCTTTTCTTTTTCTGTCATATTGCAAGTGACAACTTGCAATGTCTCGTTGCCATCTAGCAAGTAGGCATTTCTGGCCTTGATAGATTTTAGATACCATGTATCCAGAAGCCAGTTCAATAAGCGACACTTTTCTGGTTCTTCAGAAGTATCAGCTGCCAATGCTTTATTATCATCTTAAAAGAAAAATATTAATATTACGTATTTATTCCTAAACAACCAAAAATACTCTCCATAGTAAACATTCTTTTATATATCTAGTTCGTCTAACTCAAAATCATTTCCATTAAGAAAGTTATATAAATTCTTTTCATTTAAAGGTTTTTTCCAATAGCGCCTGTCAATCATGATGTATACTGTAGTGTGCATAGTTGTAAACCTTCATACCATCAAAAGTTTGTCTTTTCAAAGGTACCAACAATTCATTACTTACCTCAAATCACAATCCACCAACAAAAAAAATACAGCAACCAGATAAACAATAAACTTAAAAGTTTCACTTAAGAGGAGGTTTTACTTGGCTTTAGAGCAGAGCATGTAGTACCCCACTTTTATTTTTGACTTATTCTGAAAGAAAAAAATATGTGCCTGTAGGTAAAGGTTAAATCTGTGCTCCTCTGGAGACACTTTTTCAAAATTTGAAAGTCGACTTTTTCTACCTATTTTCTCAAAAACTCTCGAGTTCATTGGAAAATTTTCCCATGGGAAAAGATTACACTACTTATAGTCCCATGGAAATAGGTTATGCAATTCTCGAACTTGTTAGAATAGACATTCCCATGGAAATAGTAGTTTCATGTATGTCTGATATTAAGTCCACGAATATTTCGAAACAACCAATAACATTAAAGATATATTAAAATTTACTGTTGGCATTATTTGTATTTGTTGTGGTTTTTGGGTAACCGATGGTAACCGATTATCTGCCGAGCCTCCGCGCTGGAGCATGTGCCGTGCCGAGCAATCGCTAGAATGACCGAGGAACAAGTGAAAATATTCGATTATGTATAATTAAAACTTGTCGAGTCATTCTTAGTTTTCCTTTTCACATGTTGAAAAAAGAAAAAGTAGCTTTTGTATGGAAGAGCAACGAAAGTTTCGAGAAACTAAGAAATTCTTTCGTTAACGGAAATAATAAAATTTTCAAAAAGATCTTATTAAATGTACTACAAATTTCTCAATTTGTGTTATTTGCCAGTCCCTTAGCAGCTCCCACAATTTCTAACTGATTTAGGAAAATCAGTTCATATATAGTTTCTTAGTGAAAGAGAAGTAAAAATAATATACCTACATAAATAAAATATATAAATACGCCAAAAAAATGTTTTAACTACAATTTCATCAAAAATCCAAGATATCCAATAATCTTTGGCTGTCTTAGTCTTTCGCGTGGTCTTTCTTTAAATTTTCGACTTTAATGCGCAAACTCTAGTACAATTCCCATTGCAAAACACAATTTCCAAAGCTCGTAAGCAGGGGAATATGTTCCCATACTTCTCATTGGAAAATATTCCACCGCTTATGTCGA